GGGAGCTTTTCAGATCACCATTTCCTCCTTTGCCCAAAGGGTGAGCTTACAAGGGTTGGGATTGATAAACCAAGAAGGAAAAATAGACTAACAGAAGAGCAGGAGAGATTCATAGCTGGACTTTCACCAGAACTAGCAGAAGAATGCAGAAAAGCCTTTTCAAATGTAACTGCTTCAACAAGAAACACAAAGTGTGAAGTCCCTGGGCTTATGGAGTCATATGGACTAAAGGAGCAACCTGTCATTCTAATGCTGTTGGAAGTCACTGCAAATGCAGGCCAGAAAATTGGCACTTTGATTGACTTGGCTTCTGATACCAATTACATTACTCATCAAGCAGCTAAAAGGTTGAACCTAGAAGGTGAGAACATAACATTAATTGTTCATGGTGTTGGGGGAATGTCAGTCAAAGTAAGAACAAAACGATACCTGTTAAAAGTTAGAGTCAAAACCCCCAAAGGCACAGTGAAAGCCCACCAGCTCATTTGTTATGGACTCAGTGAAATTGCTAAAGTGCATAAAGTCATTCAACCACTGCAGCTGCAAAAGTTTTTCCCAGATGTTGACCTGGAAGACCTCAAAAGACCAGATACCATTGAGCTGCTAATAAGTCACAGAGAAGGCAGACTTGCCCCTCAAAGAGTCAAGGTTGTTGGAGACCTGGTCCTGTGGAACAGTCCACTAGGCATGACCGTGGGAGGAGCTCATCCGGACCTTTGTGAAGATGTCGACGTGGCAGCACACAGGTCAGAGACACACTTTGCTCGTTCTATGCGCACTGCTGCTGTAAAGTATGAAGAAGTCTGCAGTTTCAAAGAAGTTAAAGCGGAAAGCAAAAGTACAACTACCAATAAAGAGTTCATTGATTGGTGGAAGTGGGAGAGCATAGGAACAGCTTGTGAACCAAAGTGTGGTGGATGTCGCTGTGGGACATGTCAACCAGGTGGAAAAGATATGACATTAATGGAGGAGAAAGAACTTGAAATAATTAAACAAGGTCTTACCTATGTGCAAGCAGATGACCACAGTGATGCTCCCCACTGGGATGCAAAGTATCCTTGGATTGTAGAACCCACTTGTCTTCCCAATAACAGGAAAAGTGTTGAATCAACTTTCTTAAGAACAGAAAGACGATTAAATAAAGAGCCTGAATGGCAAACTGTCTATGCAAACCAGGTGGCCAAACTGTGCTAGGAGCCATTCAGCGTGACAGCTATGGATACCAAACTTTCTTTGCTAACAGAGTTGGTGAAATACAGAAAGCTGGGCCTGTTGCAGATTGGTGGTGGATTCCAGGTGAGCTCAATGTTGCAGACATTACATCAAGAGGAGCATGTCCTGAGTACCTCCAAGAGGACTCACAGTGGCAAAATGGACCAAAATTCTTGTCACAACCTATTGATCAATGGCCGATAAGATCAGCCAAAGACATTGCTATAGGTGCAAAAGAAGGTGTTGAAAAGCTCCAAAGAAAAGCTTTCTCAGCAGTAACAACCAGAGCACAGTCTAAGCAAACTAAAGAAAAAATGTGTGATGAGGATGTGACAAAGAATGCTTTAAAAGCTACAGAGTGTAAAGAAAAAGACAGCCAACTCAAGATCTCTCCTCTTACATTCATTGCCAAACAATTAATTCAAGAGAGAAGATATAGTAGTCTTTCTAAACTAGTCAGAGTCATTGCATGGGTGAGAAGAGCTGTTGAAAACTGGAAACTCACTTTGGAAAGCAAGCAAAGTGGCAGAAAAGTGAAAGGAAAAAATTCAACAGATGTCAAACATCCAACCATCCATCCTGGGCTTACTGTTAAAGAGTTTGAGAATGCACTGAGAGATGTTTTCCTGGCTGCACAAGTGAGTACCTCATTCAATGACACAACTTTAAACAGACTAGTTGTGTTTAAAGAACAAGACTCTGGACTTCAGGTATGTGGGGGTCGTATTCAATCCTTTAATGAAGACAAAAGAGTTGTCCCCATTTTACCATATGACTCATGGGTATCCACATTGGTTGCTCTTGAAGCTCATGAAGTAAATCATGAAGACATTGCTGGAACATTACTGCAGATGAGGAAAAAAGCATGGGTGGTGAGAGGCAGAAGATTGGCTAAAAAAGTTGTGGATAATTGTGTGACGTGCCTGAAAATCAGGGCAAAGAGATGTGAACAGATAATGGGCGATCTTCCACCAGAACGAACACTGCCTGCCAGACCACTTGAGTTTACTACTATTGATCTATTTGGACCCTATGAAGTGAGGTATGAGGCCCGGAAAAGAGTTAAACTGAAAGTATCCAAGTTACCCCGTACCACATGTGAGAGCTGGAGGAAAAACGGGGAAGATGAGGAAGGAACTTCAAATGAAGATACCCTCAACAATACTTCACAGAGACGTAAGGCGCATTGTTGTGTTATTGCCAATAGAAGAACAAGAAAACCCTGCTGGGACAAGATCTAGTGAAGAGAAAGAGGTGTGACCTCCTTAGGTTCAAAGACCAGGAGCTCAAGTGGGAGGTGTCAAGTTAAAACAGCAAATGGTGTATTGGTGTGAGTGCAGTACCATCTCCACCCGGCTGGTGCGCGCCTCACAGAGATCAAGCGCGCCCAACTCTCTCACTCAGGCCTTCAGGAGCCTATAAGGTAACTCAACACACCTGTGTTCTGAGCAATCTCTACAGACAAAGACCTCATCTTCAAGCTCCTGCAGAGACACCACTGGTTTTCAACCTGCTTGGTTGTCTTGTCTTTGAGAGTGAAGTGATTTAAAGAAAAAAGTGAAAAGAGAAATAAAAAGATGACACTGAGATGAGTTGGTCCTGAGTCTCTTTGATGGGAGCAAGCCCTTTTCAAGTTTGGGCAGAAGGCAAGGTGGTTTGTAGAGGCCAAAAACTTGACAGCGGCTCATGTGGGTGTCACCTGATATAATGTCAGCAACCTGTCATTTACCATGAGGGGGGTAATCCCATCCCATCAGTATAGGACACTAACAGATCTTTAACTGAAAGCATCAATATTTAGGGATTTGGGAGTGTAAATGTGTTATTTCGTCATGCCTCTCTCTATTCCACATAAAGGGGCGACTTCAACAATCAGGGACTCATCTGCAGTCAGTCGGTAAGTGCAACTACCTGTGCAACTTTTGTGTAAGAGACCAGGAAAGGCTGGTAAACTGACCATGGCAAACTGCTTATGTTGCTATGGCTGCATCTACATGAATGTACATTGTTCTTGTTCACACTCTCGCAAGAAAAAAGGGTAATGTAAAGGGGTCAAAATGAGCTGTATTTAAATTTTGTTCTTCAAAAAATTATTAAGGATGAATTTAAAGACAATTTCAGAAGAACTGTATATTTAAAATACTACATTCACTAAAATGACTTCTTTGAAGAAGCAGAAGGACAATGCGACCAATGTGTCTGTGCAAGATTAACAGAACATAAAGGGCATAATTTACCATCCAGACAATATATGATCTCAGCTTTTCAACTTGAGCATCCTACGGTATAAAACTGCCCTTTGGGATTCCTTAAGGAAACCATTAAATGTCTACTTTCGGTTATCATCTCATCAGAATTCCCTACCACACCAAAGACTTATTACAACAAATCATACTGTGCCAGTGTGCCCCATCACACACATAATTTTTCCTCACACTTGTACTTGGACATAAAACCACGTTGGCGCTTGTTTTACACCATCAGAGCACACATGCCTTTGTTGGTGTTGGCAGAACTGCAGCTTCACCAACTCTGCTTGATCGCAGATATAAACTCACTCATCATTTCATTCTGAAACTTAGTACAGAACAAGTGGATGATAGCAAGTATTACAAAAGTGATTTCTTCTAGACAGCCTCATGGAAGGTTGCCCTAGAGATTGAATGTTGAGATTAGATGATATCAATTAATTCTTTCTGGTATGGTTCTACTCGATATGGGTGTTCCCTGCTTCATTTTTCCCTGCTAACATCCCTGTATGTTGTTGCTGTATGTTGAGCTCCTGAGGCCTAGGCACAGTACTTCCTTTTTAAATATAACGAAAGTTTGCAAGTAATTTATTGAAATATTATTATTACTTTACTAGATTTCCTAATGTATCATATTCTTTTGATCTAAAACCTGTGTTCATGTAATAACATTAGGAAAGCCTGTTAGGAAAATGTGTAATTCTGATACTATTCATTAGTATTAAATGATGTAATTGATCACTTTTCATTAGCTTTAGGATCTTAGCCACTAGAAACATATATCAGCTGTGTCCTACCAGAACCTTGAAATGTTATCCAACAGGTCAAATATATTATTGGCATTTATGATTTTCTTGTATGTCTTGACAGAAGAATATCACACCTTGATACTGGTACAGTAATAGTGATTGCTAAGTTGTGCAGCTGAACATAATAATAAGGAAATTTGACTCAAGGTTCTTGTTTAAAGAGAAACGTGTAAAAATCTGCTGTTGATTTTCTGTGATCAGTCAGTTGAATAATCTAAGATCACCTCTCTTTCCTGATTACCACACTGCAAATCAAATTGGTGCAGATTACTGAGGGAAGAATAGGAACCTGGGCTGCAACATGTTGCTGCTGATGCATAGTGGCTGGGAAAGTAGGAGAGATCAAAACTTTATCAGATAACAGTAAGGGTATACAACACAATTTTCTGTTTAAAGCTTTTTTATTATTTATAAGCTCTTAGACTCTGGAGTATGATGTAAGTTCATACAGTTTTTATTAGCCTTTGTGAATAAAGGAAATATTATTTAGATTATTTTCCTAATATAAGGCTCTTGCCTGTAGGTAGTCATATTTTTTTAACCAAAAAGGGATGGTATTTTAATATACTTTTTAATTTCACTTTAATTTTCAATAATTTCCAATAAACACTGGAAAATATTGAGATAAAACTTTCCATCCCTCATCTGCATTTTCTAGAACATATGCAGAGGCTAGATGCACTCAGTAATTACAGCTGACTGTACTTATGCAGTTAAAAACTGGTCTCACCTCATTGTGTAGAGAAGCGTGCCATTGTCAACTAGTCGTAGCAGTTTGTTAGGCGTTGTCATATTGTGGGCCACAGATTTCTTCCCGTTGTGAAAGAAGGTATCAGGAGTCCAGATTTTACTGGCCAGCAGGTTGTTAAGTGGTAGAACTTGCATTGGACCATCAAATTTAAGCCTCTCATCTCTCCAGCTTTGACGGAAGAAGACATCGATAGTGTACTCCTAGAGGGAGGACATTGAAAACAAAATGGTTTATAGGGGGAGCAGTTTCCAGAGGTAGAGTATTGAACAGATTACTGCAATTACATGCCCCAGTTAAACCAAAGTGTAATTAGAGACATTAATAAAGGCTAAATTACAGTTGGGTAAAGAAGACTGTGCCTCGGGAGTTATGTGTATACGGTGACATACAGCTTCAGCAGGCCATTATGCTTGTTAAGGGATGAAAATATGTTTTCCTTTACACAAAAACGGACACCTCGTCTGAAAACACCTAAAAGAAAACATGCACATACACAAGGTGATCTTATAGCACTATATTGAAATACTGGGATATTTATTATAATTCAAATTAGTTTTTTTTAACATAAAGGAGTTATTTTGCCATATAGTGTTTTTAGTGTTAAACAGACTCTATACCAGCTAAACCCTTTGATAAGTGGGTCACAAATGATCAAGTGAACTTATTGTTTTGCAAGTTCTTAACAAAATGTTAGCCTTTCATATTTCAGCTATTCCTAAAAAATGGAATCAATATGATGTAATAAAAAATATTAAACATATACAATAAGGCTATCTGTCTGGTAATCTATCTTCATTATGTTTTTGTAGTGCAAGTTTCCCCTCTAAAGATTACATTGAAAAGCAACATCTGATACATGTAGATATCATTTTCCATGTGTTATCTCAGAAAAATCTGTATTTGTAAAAGATTTGTGAAAGATGTGCCCTACAGTATAACTAGATAAGTTAGTTAGCAAAAGTGTCTTGCTCTAGGCCAAAATCGAATAAATTAGATAAATAACAAAGTACTAAATCAGATAACCTTATAAAAATGTGTACAGATCCAACTTGACAAAAAAATAAAGGTATCAAATTTACTGAACATACAATCTCTCTTCTAAAATAATGTATTAGTTAGATAGACTTATGATAAGATTGATTTATTTTGTATTACAGAAACTTGGCTGCAGCAAGAGGATTATGTTACTGTAGACGAGTCTTCTTTTTCTAGTGTAATTTTTCACATAAAAATAAATTTGTGAGTAGTAGCAACAATCTTTTAGTCAGTTTACTGATTAGTTCTGAGCCCATTGGTATTAACAATGCTTTTGAAAATCTTAACCTTAGTTTTCCCCATCTATATTATAAAGCACTAGAACCCACTTCAGTTTATTTTGCATCGTTCATCAGGCTGTTACTCTCAAGTTTTAGATCTGTTTTAGACTTTTGGTCTAATTTAGTGGAAATTCTAACATGCACATTTACACTGAAAGGGAGAGCTTGAATGCAACATTTAATATTTTGTATAATATATATATATATATAATAAGACTTAATTTGCATTGTTCAAAATGTGCATAGAACCACACATTTGTATCTTCATACTTTGAACCTTGTGCTCACATATGGCATTGATTGTGAAGGAATAACAATGTCATAACAGTTTGCTGTAAGTCTGATAATAGCTTTGCCAGGAACTGAAAGTGTAGCATGAGAGATGAAAACAGAAGAAATCTGTTAAGGCACCAATACTGTTCCAAAGTAGTGTATTATATATAAACTCTATGAAGAAATTATGGTTATACCAGAATGTTCTCAACAAATAATTAAACAGCCGTATCCAATCTGACCACTTTTTAGAATCATTCAAATATAATCTTAGTTCTGCTTCCTCAAACTAATTTTCAGATAATTCATTACCAAGTTTCAAAGAATCTGTTCCCTATTTTAATCTCCGCTTTATCATAGGAAAACACTACAGAGGAACCATTTCATCTATTTCTCTTCACAAATTGATGGTTTTGTTAATGAGGTTACTTCCTTACTGGGTGTTACATTAGACAGTAGAGCCACCTTGAGCCATAGGAAGCTGGCTCACCAGTCTAATTTAGAGCTGTGTACTTTAAAGCATGTTGCTAGGAAACTTGGGAGAAAAGTGGGTCTATAAATCTAGAGGAATCGTACTTTATCGAAAAAAAACCCCCAATTTACTGTTGTATGTAATGACCCTTCATGAAATAAGACCAGTGAATTTATTTTCATTACACCATCAAATCCAATAGCTGTCCAAACTTACTACATCTGGGTTTACTTTACTAAGTCAACATAATGATATTATCACTTACATTTGTGAAGTAATGGTCACTTGCGTGTGAAAAATTCATAACACTTATTATTTAAAGTGAAGAATCCTTTATCTAGATAAGCAAAAATAAGTCACTCCCATTACACTCCTGTTCAGAGGACTGTAATGCATACTTAAAAGTGTTTTTTTTTTATGCTGATAAATCTGATGAAGTGTTGTAATTTTATCGCTGATTTTGCAGAATGTTTGTCAATAAAGACAATCTTCAAAGTTAATAAAAAGAAAAAGAGTAGAATGATGACATTTATTATTTTTAATTGTAATTCAGAGCATTTTAAAGATTGGGATCTATTTTTGAATTGTGTATATATATTTGAGACATTTAACACTTGCTTGTAAGAGGAACTAGTTTGCATGGTTTTAGTAAGTAAATCAGATTTCTGGTCAAGGAAATATAAGAAATGCTGTGTCAGTCCAACCTCGATAAGATGGACTAACAGTGGGCTGCATGGTGGCATAGTTTGCCTTGCAGCAGAAGAAGATAAAGTTGTATCTAAATCAAGTTATACAGTAAATAAAAGTTGATTATTTAAACTTATTTAAACTTGTGTATATTGTGTCCTTTACAAATAAGCTCTAGTTCACACAACCTAAAATACCTAATTTACTTATGTTTGTAAATGCAAATGGTTTTCATACTTAAAAAAAATTAAATGTATTCTACAGTGTAACAGTAGCCTGACGTAGTCCTACTCAATTCTAGTCAGAATATGAGTCTGATACTGCTCCATAGAGCTGTGATTATGGGGCGTGTTTCGAACGAACCAGGGAAAAAAATGCCTCTGCACTCAATTGGATATACAACCAATAAGAGCAACGGAGTGCGTGACGTATGTTAAGCGAGGCATAGTTGTTGTCCACAAAAATCAAAGCGTGCAGTTTCGCGTTTCTCTGTTCCTCTTTTAAAATTAATTTGCTGTCTATATCTTCTAGAACAGACCTAATAGCAGAATCTACTCACCCAAACTCTCCAGCGGCAGCCATTATTGTTGTCACCCTAGCGCGCTTTGGTCACGTGGTTGATTACGTTACTGTTGATCATCTGTCCATCATCGTATAAAGTCCGCCCTGACAATTTGATTGGATCGCCTGACAGTGGGCTTTAATACTCGCGCTACTATGGAGCAGAGCCAGACCGAACTTCCCCGAACTCAAACCTTGTGGGCGGGACTAAGTTCTGACTGGCACCCAGGCTAGTGTAACAGAGGACAAGAATAAAAATAAGAATAAAAATAATTCTAGATTTTTTTTTTATTAAATTTGCTAAACTGACACAGAACCAAATGATGAGCAATCCAATCCCCTACCTCTCAGCAGAGGGAATCTATGGAATTCTTTATAAATAAGATTGTTTCTATTAAAATCAAGTTATTGGCATCCTTCTAAATATGATTAATTCATCTGTAAAATGTAATGTAGCATAAGAAATAAGCATAGAACCTGAATGGTGTTTGGCCTGTAACTGTAATTCAGTTGAGCTTTCTGAGTTATCAAAATATTAGCTTAATTCAAATCTTCACCTAATATGTTAGATCAAATTTCAATTCGTTTAACAAAGTATTCATTCTGAATTCCACCCCATTTTAGATATGGTTAATTCATTCTTAGTAGCAGGATATGTACTGCAGGCTTTTAAAGTAGCTGTAAATAAACCTTTACTAGAGAGAGCTTCTCTCGACCAGAATTACTTAGGAAATTATGGACCTGCACTTAATCTTCTTTTCCTATACTCTAAGATGGTTTGAGGGCTCATCACTGCACTGAAACAGTCCTGATAAAAGTCACTAAATAATTAAGGGAACATCAATAGGCTGGTTTAAATCTCTTTTTTCAGATAGATTTTAAGTTTGTTCCTGTTAATGCTGCATCTCCAAGGTTGTTTATAGAGTACCACAGGGATCAATTCACTTCACATCAGTTCATTTATATATCACTAATTAAGAACTCATGTCATTCAATTAAATTCAATCAGATCATAGTCATACTGGTTAAAAGTTTTCTACCTAAGCAAACCCAGCTGATTGCATTGAGTCATTAAGTTTGCTCGTTCTGAATGAGCATGTACCAACAGAAGATATTTGTTTGCATTGTTTTGTTGACTGTGCAGCAATCCCTCACTCTGAGCATGCATGTATCGACACTAGAGAGGTAAAACCCTTTTAAGAGGAAGAAACTTCCAGCAGAACCAGGCTCAGTATGAGCGGCCTTCAGTCAAGACCCACTAGAGGTGCAAGGAGATAGAAGCAGACGTACCAAAGAGAGATAGAAGCACTGATCCATAAATAATTTCTAGAAAATATAAGGGTAAACCCTGTCAGTGCTAGGACCAATTGTATTTTATTACCTCCACCAAGGAGGTAATCCACCAAGTAGGTAATAAATCATGGATTTTAATTACACTTTTAACAGAGGTGTGCCTCATGCCAAGGAACAATCTATTAAATGTTGGTGATGAGCCAGATGATAATCTGCATACAGTAATTTTTAAAGGATTCTTTAACATTGGGACATAGGGTATTTGCTGTAACAAGCAGTACCCCCAAACCAGAGGGTGGCAGCACTGACAACTGAAAGCTTCAGCATCAGACTATAAAGTACCAAAGTATTTACCGATGACAAAAATACACCATACAAGAAAACGGAGCCAAGTCTCCATCTGCTGGTGAAAGAAGAAAGCAGAGTGCAGAGCAAATGAAGAAGGTGAGAGCAGAACAGACACAAGAGGCTGCAGACACAGAAATTATTAATTATTTTAAGGATTTTTTTTGTCCCACAGGTACGCCTTATACCAAGAAACAATTCATTAAACTTCCTAATGCTGATGATAGTCAGCTATATTTATCTACACTCACCG